ATTGCAATAATTGTTGCATCTTCTTCAGTAGGATTCTCAACCAACACTGCAGTTACTGCATTATTTGAGTCACTATTAATAGAAATATTTTGTCCAGAAGTACTTCCAGAAGAGCAGTAACATTTTTCATAAATATGTTGAAATGAAGCATTACTTTCTTTATCGATCAATGTTGTATCTTCCCATATCACCGTGTGATATTTTAGTCAGCATCCGGTTATAAGCCTAATGCTTTTTGTTTCTATCATGATCATAATGACATTGGCATTATGTTAGCCATCTGAATGATTTGTATATTCTATGAAACATTTTGAAGAATATTTTTAATAGATGTTCTTCTGATAATATTTTATATGTTAAAATTCGAAAAATTTTAGGTCATGTGAAAACTGATTCATCAAAAGTTGTGGATCTACATTTCTTGTATATAATTTTTTTAAATAAGAGGTCGAGTTTCAGTGAAAATCATGAAAACTCAATTTCCACCAGTAAAATTCACCCCATTCCATTCCCCATACTTTGGATCTGCTTTTTTTCCGTAATGAGCACACTATTTTTATCCCTTTGTACCATTATTAATTTTTACTTTTTCCAAAATTATTTACATTGGACTGATTAATGCACGAGAAAAAAAGGGTGATTTACAATCGTTGTGAAACCTGTGAATAAAGGCAAACAGAAATATCTTTCAATCTCGTTTTTCCAACTGTTGGTTAATATTCTCCAGCAATATTTTCTATATAAATGTTATGATGTGGTTCGATCTGATAATTAATCATGTATAATGTATAATGTATTTTCTTGCGTCCTTTTTGCCATTTCAATTTTTGATCGACCTGTAACAAATTAACAATTATAAAAAGGAGCCAAGTATTAATTCCATTTGTACAAAAATATTCACTTCAATAAAGATTTTAAAGAGAATGAATACCAGTGAGTAGTCTACTATTAGGCATCAAATCCTTTTAATTCAAATTAAAAAATCATATCATTACTCACTTTCACTTCACTAATTCGCAACACTATAATTCCAAACACTGCACTATTACCTGTGCTATTACTTAGCTTATAGGTTTGTTCTGGTTCAACGAAATTCAGGTTCTAGGACGTCAGGATCATGCGCAGTTGATATAGAGCGTTCTGGTTTATTTAGGATAATTTCGGACTGATGACTCCTCTGTTCTGGTTACGACTGCGAAATAATCCTAAACTGTTTTGAACCGTCCCGAATCGTTATTGCTCTCGAGGCTGAACTGTTGAGAACTATTCCCGTTGCTCATGCGCATTCATGTGGAAATTTGTTTGGGATATTTGCTAGGATGGTTTTTCATTTATTTAATTTGAATAATTGATGATTGAGGGTAGATAACATTTGAACTGACTATAAGGATACGCTACATAACAAAATGGACATGATCAATAGTATTTTCTCGTCTTTATCTCTTCATATATACGATAGGTGGCACGGTGGTCTCCTCAGAAGCGTTCTGGTTTAAACAAGTGTCCGAGACTGTTTGAGATTTTTTGTTTCTACACATTATGTCTTGCGCAGTTTAGGATGTTAGAACCAGAACAAACTTATATCTCCGTACTCACATTAGATCACGTAAGACAGAACTACGCCTGCGTACTCGACAGGGCTCTTATATAGTCCGCAGAAACGGCATAAGCAGTGTTGCCAATGTAAGATGTCAAAATTACTTACTTTGAGCTGCCGTAATACTCACATTTTCGCGCCCTTATTTAGTATTCCTCACAAAATACTCACATTGTTCGGGGAGGGGGGAGAGATCAAGGGGGATTGATCCCCCTGGCTACGGCCTTGCTTTTGATTGTGCAAACTGCCATATATTTAGCAATAGCACTATTAATTTACAGTACAGCGCCAAGGTGGATGCTAAGGAAGTAAACAAAAAAGGCGGGAAAACTGTCATGATACTTATCTAAACGTAGCGTAGTTTAGATATGTATCATGATCATGACACTTATGATACTTATCTAAACGTAGTTTAGATAAGTATCATAAGATTTCTTCCAGGTGACTAGGTGATTTTTTTAGACTAAATGCAACACAGAAACTTTTTCCAAATTATTGTGACTATTGAACATTGCGAATAGTTTCTTGCAGACACGATCCATGGATCACTTTACATCATATCTCCGTGTACCATATGTTTCCATTACTTATGCATTTATATCATGACAGATGTTTTCGTATTGTCTGGGCTATATTTCAAAATTATCAAGATGAATAGATGTCACCTTTCAATAAACTTCAATTCCTTCCTAGTAACAAAGCAAATTTTCCGTGAGGAAAAGTATATGAATTGACTGTATCGCCCATGAATTCAAATGCAACATTTGCAATATTCACTTATGTTGCCTTTGAAATTGACTTTGAATAGTTCTTGAATCCGGGAAAACAGTCATCGGAGATGCACCTTGCATCTTGATTTCCTACTGCAATTTCATAAATATGTAAACCATAAACTTTATGACTGTTGCCTGGACTTTCCAACAATCGATCCTATCATGCATTTTTTCTTATTTTAGCTCAAATCGGTATATTTTCAAGTTATAAACGGATATTATTTAGACTCATGGTAATGGTAAATCCCCTAACGGTGTAGTTGTTTTGTCTTCAATTAATAGAAACATGAGAATCAAAAATAATCTACTCCATCTTCGTAGAAATCATTAGGTACTATTACAATTTACATGAACAAAGAACTGAGAGTTGAGATGGGAAGGAGATATGATCACAGCATTGATATTATTGTGTAAAAATAAGCTTGTGACGAAGAAATTCTTTGGGGGAGACCGGGGTAATTTTGTTTCCGATAAAATACGGGGGATACAGAGTATACATATGAAATCATATAAGTTAGAATTATGGATTCTGCAAAATGAGCACTAATTAGTAAAAAGCTAAAGAAGTGAAACACGTTACGCGTGTTCCACGTGGCAAAGATAGATATTACGGTTGTCCACAAAGCTTGAATAATGAAAAGGAAGCCAACTAACGCTATATTCTCTCTTTCTCTGTGGAACAGATAGAATAAAAAAAATATTTAAATATATTTTCATAGCGAATGTATTTCTCCTAAACTGCTCTGAGGTATCCTTAAACATCTGGGATGTTTCAAAGCAACTTGGATTATAGCTTGTTCCCTCAGAATTCCACAGGAACGTTGATATTTCGGAGGCATTTGAGCATTTGGATCTATCAATTCCACTGCGTTTTGATGACTCTCATGATTGATTTTGTTTATAGCTTTCCTGATTTCCCAAAAACTCCTTGAAGATATCTTCATGCTTTTTCTACTGTATATTAATAACCTGTTGGGAAAAGACAAAAATCGATATACTGGTATTTCTTCTCCGACAACTTTTCATTTAATTTGAGTTTCGCTGTTGTATTCCTAAACATCAGCTATTGAAAACATGAAATTTTCAATTTTAAAACATTCAATGTGGAAGTAAATTCAAGATTCTTATTCAATCACAAAAAATGGGTGTTAGTTTCCTTTAAGGGCGCGAATGTTGCAAAATCAATATAAAACATAGTGTTACACTTTTCCTTGTGGGTTTACCAATAATTGACTACTGAACAATAATCAAACTCAATTTTTTATTTCACCGTTAATACAACCAAACCCACGGTCTTGGTCACGTCACAATTGATTTATGACGACCATTGGCGGCCACAGTGTCAATTTAGATAGAAATATGTCTGTTTTTTCTCACATTACCTACTACCTACCTGTTACTTTTCTTTACATCACTCCAAACGTGTAAAAAATAATTTGTCGCTCTCGGGTTTATTCAGTTTTTTGACTCCTAAATCAGCACTTGGCTGGATTGTAATGATAAAAAAGGCAACCATGTTATTTTGTATGATTCCATTATTGAAAATAGTCCAAATGAAGTAAAATTTTAAATAACGGCAGAATTTTCTGAATAATTGCTAGTCTGGTGCGCTATTTCTGAGACTGAGGTTTCAACTACGTATGTTGATCAAGTTTAAGAAGAACCTGTGAGTGACAAGCTTCATACCAAAGCTGCTTGGTTTCATTAACAACAATCATCAGAACGACGATTTAAAATTCTGGCTTGAACTCGAGTCGGGTCATTAAACCAGGATTACTCGGAATTGTTGGAACAGAATTATGTTATTGGGAATGAAACTTTTGGGCTTCCACTTCTCCATCTGGATACAAAAAATTGGATGAACTGCCAAATAAAGAAACCAATTGAATTGAGAATGCAGTTTGTACTCCAAACATTAGTAATGGAATTGAATCAGATATCTTTTATAGGATTACTACACAACATAGTATAAGAGGTATAAGAGGTCAAATTTCACTTACATGGAACACTATCATCCTCAATGGCGGACTTCGAAGTTTTGGAATACGACACTTGTCTTATTGCCCCTTCATCACTGTTGTGGATAATACAACAAGATGAAGCACTCAATTCATTCATAACATTACGATTTTATGTCACGGATGAGACAAATCTACTCATGTCACGATGACAGTACGTAATGAAATTCTCATAGTTGATTTAATGCCAGCCACAGAAATCTTGTTAAAATCGAAAGAAGAAAATGTTTTGGCTTTGACTTATGTACCGAAAGAATATAACCTTCCAAATGTACCACAGGCTCTGTCACTTGAAGAATTTTGGCCGATACTATATCGACATGTTTGTTCCAACGGATGGGAAGCCGAAAGATGAACAATTGCAGAAGCGCATTTTCAGAAAATTTCGACGAGTGGGCCTGACATTGACCAACAGAAAATGAGATAATCTTAACCAAATTCCGTGCTACTGAGGACCACGGTCCGCTATCCAGTTTTTTTTAATATTATCAAAGATGTATTTTTAAGCACTGATACTGAGATTTCAATAAAAAAAATTATATCTTTGATTGAGCCTGTTAATTTTATTTCCCTCGACTTATGTTCCATATGTTATTTTCTTTATTTTTGTAGGTGAATTTCCTTTTATTGTGGCTCTCGGCTACAGGAATCCCAGTAATCCCAAAGTGCCAAAATGGCTTTGTGGCGGTACTCTCATTAGCGACCGACATATTTTGACAGCTGCACATTGCGTTTACAATAGGAAAGATTTGTATGTACTTGTGAGACATTTTGATTCAAATAATCGTTGAAAAACTACTTTTCTCCAGGTATTTGGCTCGTCTTGGAGAGCTTGATCTCTTCAGTGATGACGATGGAGCAAACCCAGAAGATATTAGACTAATCAAGGCAAAAGTTCACGAGAATTATAGCAATGTTCAATTTACCAATGACATTGCCATATTGACTTTGGAGCGGAAACCAACTAATCGTAAGTACCTACTTATTGCATGTGTTCCAAAAGTTGATAGAAAATGTGCAGTGAAAATAAATAATAATGAATTGTTACTTAAATATATGAATTTTCAAGTATCAGCCAATTCCATAACATACAATAAAAAATACAAACGTTGATCAACGTATTAAAAAAAATATTCAATGTGAGATTTCCATTTGAAAGTGTACATTTCGCTATACAATAGCACTTTCGGGCGTCACAATACTCTTGATGCTCACAACACTCAATAATGTGACGCCCTCAGATAGTATCGTATAGCGAATTACGTATCGAGGTTTTGTGAACTGTCAAGTGGAAATCACACATTGAAGTGTTTTTCTGAATATGTTATAATGGATTTTCAAGTATCGGTCATTTCTATTATGACTTTGACTAAGATTATTTAGAGTCAATAATGAATGTGATGCAACATAAAGACAATATCTTAAGTATTTTCATTTATTTTTCCGCGAAATGTGTGGTCCAATTCTATTTTTTTTACAGATCTTTAAAGATTTCTGTTAGAGAAAAAGTAATGTTATCAATTCAAATATTGATTCAATTTCTAATACCTAATTTGGAATATTAGAAGAAACATCATACACCACCTTTGTTTCTGATGCTTTTTGAGAATAAATTTATTTTTTAAGGATAAACCATCAGCATTTTTACCTAATATGTTTGATAATTACTTCATTAGATACATATAAATAATCCTGAGGTTCCAAGAATTGCCCAAAATATTTAACCAATTTATGGGTTATTTCTGCAATATAATTCATTTTCTTCTTCTGAAGCTTTGCAGAATGTTCATCTATGTAACTTATCTTTTTTACAGACTATATAGGGCTTTCACATTGGATGATTTAAATAACCGGATACAGTTCAAGTATTTCAAAAAGGAAAATGTTGCTTTTCAATGACATATATGTATGCTCATGATCCAGAAAGTTTCCTAGGAACTTTATAGTTATTTTGGATGCAGTAGACATTTTTGGACATTCTAAAATGCTTTCTCAGAATGAAAAGTTATTAAATCTAAAGAAATGAACTTTAAATGTTCAAGCCCGTCTCGGATATACCTACAGAAAACAACTACTCCACTGGCTAATACCACGAACGGCGTTGGATCATATCCGACAGGCGTCAGTGCAGGAATCTTCACAGAAAATTTCCTGCATATGCAATTGGCAATACAACTGAAAGAGTCGACTTTCAACCTGCTGTGTAGGTATATCCGAGACGGGCTTGAACATTTAAAGTTCATTTATTTAGATTTGTTTACTGCCTGTCTTCAAGCATAGCCCACTGACTAATACGAACGAAAAGTCATTGACAAAATTTGTTTCTATAATTCTAGAACCTTAACTTTGTGGAAGGTTAGAATATGCATTTTCCCATGTAAACTATCTCATTGAACAAAACTTTTCTAAAATTTGAGGAAGCTGTTGGTTTTAACCCAATTGCATGAGTATTTTTGTCGAAACTTTGTGGCAGTTAAACTGTCAAGTAAATATGTATTTTCCCATGTAATCTATCTCAATGTTCGAATGGATCCACTCTCGCGTTCCCCGTTGTTCCGTGGTAGATTCAAGAGTATCCCATGCTGCTGTTGGTGAGGTTTTCATTTCTCGCATTATACCCAAAAAAGCAAATTTTTGTACTCTATGCTAGTTTCATTTTGGGCCACCAAACCAAAGAGGCATATGGTGACCACCATTGAATGTAACCAATACATCATGTCTGGTTTCACCGCCTATATGTTTGTGTTTGGCCATCATCATCAGTGCTACCTTCGCATTTCTTTATCCTATTTACTTATTGGTTCCAAGTCATTCTATGATATAGTATCACTCCCAGATATTTAACATCTCCCGACAGTTGTATCTGCTCTCGTCTAAGTTGCCACCGTAGTCGATTTGGATGAACTTATCTTTTTTCTAGGTCCATCTCGATAAACTGTTCAGACCTTGGTGTAGGCGTTCCCTGGGATGATTATGATGTCATCTGCATACTCCAGTACTTCATTTCCATAGTCGTCTAGAAATAGTAACTCTAACCCTAATAGTATAGACAAGACTATCCCACCTTTGAGAACCACCCTCACCACTACTGTTTACCCAATAATGATTGTGTATTACTATCTTCCTCTAAGTTTTCAGTTTATCAACCTGAACAATCGATTGTCAGGATTTAGGGAGTATACGAACTTACTATTATTATATTTTTCAGATGGTCCTTCAAGTTCCACTCTGCAACTAGCTGAGATTCCTGTAGTGAGCCAAGACCATTGCAAGCGTGCCTTTGGAAAACAAACTGTAATTGACGACAGAGTTCTTTGCGCTGGTTGGATCAGTGGACTTAAAGACGCTTGTCAAGGAGACTCCGGGGGTCCACTAATGTTCGGTATGAGCGAAGGAAGGGATTTGCGGTACTACCAAATCGGAGTGGTGTCTTATGGGTTCAGATGTGCGGAAGCTGGATATCCTGGAGTGTACACCAGAGTTACGAACTTCATCGACTGGATTCAGAGGAATATGGACTAGTTGGTGGAAGTGCAGTGAATTATTGGACCGAAGTATTGTGAGGTCGTTTGGAGCGTGTTTTTTTTTCCATAGATACGACCTTACTTGAAAATGAACCAACATGACGGCATATGCCAGTTACTCCAACTATAAGGAAACAGATTTCAAACAGTTCAGAATGGTTTTCCTCACTGGATAAAGATTCATAAAAGCTAGATGAATAACTTGGTATAACTTCCAGATATCTAGGGCGTAAATCAAGAGAACTTATTCCCATTCCCTATATTTCAAAAACATATCTCTCTTACTTTCATTGTTTTCAAAAGTTTGTTCGTAAAAAGTAGTTTGTTATCTGTCTATTGTTATTATTTATTGTCAACTATGTTTACTAAAAGAGACGAAACTAAAATAATGAATGAATTGATAGATGTAGCCTGTATGTACTACATGGTGAGAGATCATCATGAAAAATGAGAATGAATTTTCTGTTTTTTTACCACTTTTATCTGTAACTAAAATTACTGCAGTTTCGTCCTATAAGGACATTTTCAAACTAATACAGCGTTTTAGTTCTGAAAAGAGTAGGAAAAAACAGAACGTTTATTCTCATTTTTTATTAAATAATGTACACAATTAGCATCTGTTTGGACATTTGAAATTATACTACTATTAGTTCTTATTGTTAAGATTACCAACTGCATATCTGTGAAAAATTATACTGTTTTACTTTTCAAGATGTTTCTTCATATGACGTATTCAGGCTGTGATAAATATGACTTTATTTTGAGGAAAACGATGTTTTAAAGTTCAAATGTCCGTGAAATGATAAGAATATGTTATTGCGAGAAATATTCTATTCGTGTGAGAGGGATTTGAATATTTTTTTGTCCAGCTAAATATGTTCAAATATGTGTCAAAAGGCAACCTTCAANTGGTAGGACTTATACAAGGTCGGTTGAATTGGACGAAAGTTTCATATTTTGGGGAGCAACAATAATCTCTTTTCAGATCGAGAATACCAGTGATTATTTTCGAAATATTCTCCAAAAACTAGAGTTGTCAAATTTCGTTTTTTGGCTTTACCACCTGCATTTCGAATGATATGAAAAAAAGGCAGAGAAACTTTCAATACTGTTTTATATTTGTTATAATGTGATATAAATCAATTTGCCATGCGACGTTTCCTTCAACGTTGTTATTACAGTGGTTACAAAAATCGATGAAAAAAACTAGAGTTCGATATTAAAAAAATGAAGTTGATGAAATATAATGAACGAAACGTCACATTGCATGTGAGACATTATTATGTCATTAAAAATGGAGGCGGTAGAGCCAAAAAAAAAATTCGACATTTCTAATTTTTGGTGAATATTTCAAAAACAACCACTGATATTTTTATCTGGAAAGCGAGTATCCAAAAGTAGTTAAGTTTTGTCCAATTTAACCGACGTTGTAGGTCTCACCGTTTCTGAGATAGCAATAATGGGATCAGCTGAAAAAAAATGTGCCCAAAAATTAAAATTTTCCAGACATTCAGGTTGGTAGGAGGTTTTTCTGTAATATTTCAAAATAATATGTAAATGTCATGAATAAACATATATGAATATATAAATTTATGTTAATATTTTTCCAATGACCATTATTTCATTTGGAAAATACGACTTTCAGTTTCAGTAAAATATGGAATTGAAAAAAACAACTAATTGAAAAATCACACATTTAAATAAAACTCATCAACAACAGCTACAAGGGATTGTACTTTACATTATGAAAATATACCTAGCAAAACTGCTGCTTACAATAAAACTTACAAAGTATCAGTCAACTCTAACTTTTCAGATAAAATATTAAATCACAGTATTACAGTGTGTTAAAGAAAGAAACTATGAAATGTAAATAAAATAGTCTGGTCAATCTATTTCAGCTCGATTTTCTCTTGCCTCCTTGATTGGTGTCAACTTAGGAATTATTGCTGGAGACATGGCTAATGCAGGGTTGGCTACAGCAATGATATTGTCCCCTCTAGCCGCGATTATTTGAACCTTCGGAGAATATTTACTGGGATCATCGTCATCAGTAGGATCCTCCATTTTTCTCTGAAAAAATACAGTCCAGTCAAAAGCAATAGTAACATGTGGTTTATCCATTTTTGAAAGAACTGGTTTCCTTCAAAGATTCGTCATATTTCAATTTCCAGACTTTTAAAGACAATTTGTCGGCTAGGCTCCCCTAGCTGTTATTAAATAACCCAAATATGTACGTACATTACAATACAATATCATAAAGTGAGGATTACAAGAACAAAGCTCAGAAATATCAAAAAGAAAAATTTCCCGAAAGCAATTTCATCCGACAAAATTCTCTGCCAGATGTACTATATCAGTACAGATGAAAAAATCAATATTGTCTTCAACATAACAATTAATACGCCACTACTAATTTGGATCGCAAATATAAGGTCAACAATATAAATTTAGTAAAACATAATCTAGAATCTAACAAACCACCTTCAAACCTCAATTTAATATAAATAACAGAACACTCTAATGGAAATAATACATGAGAAACATCAACAGCTATTAACTATAACAAAAAAAATATTTTTTTTATAATTCAGTACCGACTGTCTGAAAGATTAGCCTGCACCCTTAAAGACAAAAAATGCAAACATCTCCCAAACTGTTAATATTCTGAAGGCAATCTCAAAAACTGTCATGTCATAATCCCATGTCAAGATTGAGATGCAACCTACCTAAGACAGGTAGTGGATTGAAATATTTATTCAACTGGATTCATTGCTTAGCTGTGCTTAGGACAATGAATTGATAAAATGACCTTCTTGGATAAATGAAGAACATAAAGGCCTATTATACACCTGTTGCTCTTTTAATTATTTCACAACCCTACCTATAAAACTTCCATTTTGTGACTGGCATACAAAAAGTTATGTTTCATGCCTGCAAACTGAAATCTTGAATGAAAAATCGTGAAGACAAATTTTCTACTAGGTTACGATTAAATAAATCTTACACTACTTAATTTATTGAAACTCATATTCACCTGCGGACTGCTTGAATTACTGTAGGTGAACTGGGAGTCTGATTCCTCCAGTTCGGCGCCTGTGGACGATCGTCTCGAATTATTACCCCTAGGACGTAAAAAAAAAGTTTTCAAAAGTATATCACTATGAAATATATGAAAATCAGTGAGCCAGCAATATTCATATTCAATATTACTTTTGTAACCATTTAACTCCAGACAGCATATTGGAGTGGGTTGAAAGATAAAACTTAAATTTTTTTTTGAACTTGTGAGGGCACACGAGATGAGAAAAAGTTCATCAAACACGAGGTGTCTCAGATGAACTAGCCGTTCGGTAGATGCATATATATGAAATTTGGAACGGAACTGATTCTTTAAAATATCTTTCAACAATCCATTCGATCCGGATTTTTTAAATCAAATTTTGAAACACCTTTCAAAAACGGTCTATTTTGAGAAAATAATAATTGGAAATGGAAAAGTAACCACTCGGTGCACTACAAGATTTTTTTTAACTCAGGAAGCTGCAATTGAAAACATGAAATTCGACTCAATAATGTTACAAAACAAAATTTTGTGTAAAACCATACCTGGCGTTAGAGTGATGATTTTTGGTATTTTGAAACAGAGAATGAAGCGAAGATCTCATTACAACAGCATCGTCGTAGTCCTAGAAAGGAATTTTCACAGTCATGAATAATTTGTACATAGAAACAAGCAAACAAACATGCGAAGCGAAGCGATCTGAAATTAATTGTTAATACCCCTTCACATATAAAGCAGATCTACATCCTACAAAAGCCACGTACTTGAAAATGAATGATTTCCATAAATATTTACATGTCTTTTTAGATATGGTTTCTTTTTTACGTCACTTTGAATTGAAGGTCCGCTCTAAATTTCCCGAACCATAGTATATGAATTCAAGTGTAATTAACAACTATTTTTTATATAACTATAATTTGAAANTTTTCCAAGGCTACTGAAGGAGAAAAAATTATCACGTCCAGTTTACTTTGAAGAAATAATAATTTTTTTTCTGAAAAGTAAAGAATAATTTCACAATACAAATAACAGTATTCTCGAATAGAAAATGCGATACAATTTCATGGGTTCCTTTCTTTTTAACACGTTTTATTCAAACAATTCGAAATATTTCATTATTCATAACAAGGTTGACTATAAAAAATACCAATGGGGATTTCAATTGACTAGAATTCTTTTGACCAATATTATTTTGTTTCAGATACGTACGGTGGTGGCTTTATCAGCTGAATCATCGCTAAAAGCAAATAACCTTTTTTTATTGTTTTCACTATATAGCGTAAAAATAATAGAGCAATTGTTTTCAGATTTGTACATGGAACAACTGTGTGGAATCAAATTTAAATTCAGCAGTTTTTTTTAATAAATTGGTTAAAATGAAGTTCATATGTTAATTTTCTGTGAAATTTTTGAAAAACAAATACACATTTTGCGGTCGGATCGACCACACAATTGCAGTCGCGTTCCAGCGAACTCAAACCGTCCATAAGAAATACTGTACCTACTACACGTACACGGGCGTTCATCAAAGTCAAAACGGGCTTCTGCAGTCAACTTGCTGCTGATCTCCGCCGGGATGTCATCGCGGCATCCGCCGTACACTAACCACAAACTTACAGTCGTACCCAACCACGTACATATTGGTCTCACAGCATTCAATTTTTGATGTCAGTTGCCTCAACTGCAAGCGCGGTTTATATGACCGAAAGTCGACCACAAAAATGTGGTTGGATCAACCGCGAAGTGCAGTCAATGTGGCCACAATGTTGTGGTTGCCTAACTGCAAATATGTGGTCCGTGTACGGCCGGACTAAGTAATACCCCTTCGATAGGTATAAAGATTTTTTTGAGTAAAATTTTACGCGCGGTTGACTTGAGGAGTAAGCTGGTGAATAAGTAAAGGAGCGTTACGAAAAGTGTGATCGAGCTAGGCGAACGGAAGTTGAAAGGGAGGCATAAGTTAGTGAAGATAGAAAGAATGAGAGTTACGTTTCGTATATTACTGTAGGGGCAAGAGAGAGAATTAGGAGAAAACTATCATACGTTGCCACTAATTTTAGCAGGAGATTTCAATGTTAATTTCGCGTCCGAAGATGGACAACTTTTGGCAAACTTTCTAGAAGATAAATTAGAACTACAAATGAATAATAAACGAAATGAGCCTACCACAAGGCATGGAACAACAATCTCTAGATATCTTTCTAATTTTCATTCGAAACCATATGTATCTTAATTCTCATACCATAACCCTATTGTTAAGGTCTTACAATCAATCACGTAATTACTGATGTTTACGATAATGAAAAGGATGAAAATAATATTTTTTTTTCTTTTCTGTTGAAATTATCCATATGTTTGTAGAAAAGAAGAAGCAGGAAGAAAAAGGTCACCAGATGTTATTGACAATTTACCTAATCCAGATATTATCATACCAGACTACTTCAATCAACAGAAACACGTTATACGAAATTTACCTAAGCCAGGTACAGGTATTAATTAGCACACCAAACAACCTGGGTCTCCGCATAAATACGCGGTACGTAGCCATAATATCCAGTCATCGGAGATATTAACTCAAGATGTAAAAACCTCTGACGAAGCTAGCCACTCGCGCTAGCGAAACCTCAGGAAGAAATTCAAAAAATCCACGGTCTTCAAACAACGAAGATTATTCACACTGAAAACCTCAGCCGCAAAAGCCTTAATCATTTTGTTATTATATAAGTTGCTTCTCCCATGCAAGTAAAAGTTTCCACGATTCACTCCAGAGTTATAAGATTATTGAAAAACTGGTAATATACCAAATATATCGATATATCAAATCAAGTATATTGATTTTCTTTACTAGAATACCTAAGTCTACAATTAATCCATAGTGAAAACTATTCTTAAAAACAAGCTGTCATCAACATGCTCTACAAAGAAGAAAATAAGTGAATTAATAAAAATTCTTCAAGATTGTCGTGATATTTACCTATTTTACGAATACTTTTTTCTTAGAATAAAGATCAAGTTATTATCTGCACAAGAAAATCTTGCGACTCTCTGAAAGTCCGCTGTATTGAATTGATAATGACGTTAATTCATTCTTCGTATTTTCACCAGCAACCCCTTTCATTCGATATCCATATCATGGGTGTGCATAAAAAACCCATCCGTCATCTTGGGAGGTCCTCCATATTGAACATAGAATGTCGTCACTCAGCTAGTCATGCTCATCATCCATACTTAACGTTCATACAAAATTTGAACTCTATCGATTGAGGATAAGTGCTTCAAAATGTAGTTGACTCGTACTGACATACATACATACAAGTTGAATTAAAGTCTGTGAAAAATTATAATTATTGATGAATGAATAAAACTATAAGTTCATTGTTTTTGAAATAGAAAATCTTTTGAATAGTGGAAAGTTCAGCTTATTTCAAGTGTCGTCGTAGTTTGAAAATATGAAGAAAAATTTATCTCCTTTTCTAAATTTCTAACCCATATATTTGATTTTTTCATGATGACCAGTTGAGACGTAGTTCACAGATGAACAATTGCTTCGGAAATGTTCCTGGGGCCTTGGCAAATTATGACTGCAACTCATACTCGTCTTCAGTTGGCATTAGGAAGTGTTCGATGAATTGGTTGGTTTTCAGTATCATCAGAGCACAAGTACGGACCAATCAGGTATTTACGGATAATTCGATTTTATTGAAGAGTAGAGCTCTTTTTATTTTTTTGTAATTGTTCGACTCTACTTTCTTAGTTCATCTGAAATTCCGACAAGGATTTGGTTATATAGCATCCACTGCTTTTCTTTCTTTCGTTAGTTCGTTAATCAAGAGATAATTTACATTAATTTGTCTCTACCAATAAACGTTGAAAACACAACCCATTCCCGGAGGCTTTGCCTGATAAATGCTTTCAATTTAACAATCAAGAGAAACTTATGAAGTGCAGTCTGGCTCGAACAATTGTTCTTGATATGAAATTATGGAGGAAAAAAATATTATATGCTGTGAAAGAAGTTCATGGATAACTTAAAAGTTTTGTTCTGAACGTAAATCCAAATAACAATGACTCTTCAACATTTTTGCGCAAACAATTAGGTACTTATATTTAATTCCATAACAAAAAACAACATTTTATTTTATACTGTCCAAGATACTATACAGAGGAAATTCTTTCAGATGCCACCCGTTTGTACAGCAGCAGGACCTTGTTAAAAATCAATCCAAATTATTACCCTTCAAATTATTTAAATAAAAAATTCGTTCAGGTCAGTCTCAACTCACTTTTATTACTCTTCGTCAATACAATCTTCATTTCACCATGATAGCAGCGTTATCTGGATTTATATCAAACATGCCCCACCGCATATACGAAACCTTAGACAGAGACAGGATATTTTACTTCAGTGAAGCAGCGAAAATTCCATATGGTGAACGAAGCCCCAAACAAGAAAAAGAAAAAGCATCTCGTGTAACAAAACAAACAGAAATGACTGTGTCTAGGAGAGACACTAAAAAACTCTACTGAAAAATTAATATTTCCAATTGAAGTTGAAAACATTCACCTATATCTGCACGCGATACAGTGATGCGAATGGTTTGATTTGATTTCATTTGCTTCATGCATCAAAAATTTGATTTTAATTTGAGTACATTATTGATTATTTAGCCCAATATTCGAACAACCTCAAATTCTTTCAAAGTTTCTCATCTTAATGGTGGAAACGTGAAAAGTTATTCGTTGACGAGCAAATGTTTATCTTATTTATGGGGGAATTGAACTCTGACTACAAATTACACAACTGCTTCACAAATTTTTCGATTTAAGATTACATAGTAAATACAGAAAATCATAAATCTCTGAATTCAGTTCATTAGTAGCAGTATATATTTATTGATACGTATCTTCATTTTGAATTAGGCACTAAACAACGAGTTCTTATTGAAAATATACTTTTCTAGCCGACTTTATAATTTTTATGAGTAACGACATGAATCATTCAATTTTGAATATTGCAAATAATTAATTATTGAAAGAAGAATATTTTTTAAAGGGATTAGTTTTTGAAAAAAAAAAAGATTTATGGCTTTCACTTCGAAGTCAACATTAAAAATGATGGCGGGTGAAATTTTATATCGTAAATCTACAATATATTATATTGTGATGGACGGATGATATCTGATTCAATGCGATAATGAATGTTTGGAGTACAAACTGAATAGGAAAAACAGATTTTCCTATAATTCCATGTTCATTTGAAAGCCGTTGTTTCGAAAGTATTTTTTCTTTCGTGCAATTCAATGTTCATATGAAAGTAGTTATTTCGGGGGGCTTTTTCTTCCAGTTTTTTTCTGAAAGTAACTTTCACGCATGATCTATAAATCTTCAGGAAGAGTTTACTTTGAACTTAATTGCATGCTTCCGTACTTTGAAAGTTTCCTACCATTTTTTGTAAAAAAAAGTGAAAGTCAAAAATCGTTCTTCCCGAAATTAGTGAATATATTGAACGGATTATCAAAACAAATCAATGTTTCATCGCTAGAAAAATGTGAAGATATCTCCCTTTACAAATACGTCATCTATGGCATCGACAGTAAATTCAAAATAAACGAGTCTATTGAAGGCGATCTGTTCAGAACCTTGGGTCCTGTGCGAATGATAAAGACTGGAATGATATGCCAGGAAATATATCAGAAAGAAACACAGAATAATAGGAAAATACTTGTATGCCTGAAGAAACGGAAAAACGTCCAAAGATGTTCGTACGTGAAAAGAATCGAAGAACAGTTTTAACAGATCAGAGATCAGCTCGGAATAACAGAGTAATAAGGAATGTCCAACAAAGGATCTGCACAAACCAGTAAAATGTTGGAATTGGTGTCATGAAAAAAGGGAGGGAAAGACGCAATGAGCCATA